CCAATATTAGCACCATCTATCCCAGGAACATCATCTATATTAAATTGTTTGAAAGTTTCCTCTGTTACAAAAATGAATTTCTTAATTACTTCCCAGTGTTATGCCTGTCATGGGCACACTGTCTAAAATATTTTCAGTCGTATAAAAATTCTCAAACCCAGTGAATAAATAGAGCTAATTATTACATCTAAGTATTACTAAATATGTACCCTCATCAGCTGCAAAAGCAAATGTCACAATGTTTAAGACTTTTTTCACACAATTTTTCTTTTTAATTTCCTAACCATATTTCTAGTACATTAAACAACAGTGTTTCTGATTACACTTACATTCGCACATACTTATATCTTTTCAGGACCCATGATTTCCATCACATTCAGTAGACACTCTTTTACAACTTGCTATCTGTGAAGAATGTCATGTCCTGGGCAGATTTTTCACTTAAATATATAAATACTTATTTTATTAATAACCAAAACAAATCTTGTTGACTCTTCTGTTCTCTTTGCAGCTCATTGGATTTGATCACATCTTTTCCCCATCCCTGGTCTTTGTACTTACGGTGGTTTGCTTCATGATGGCATCATAATGGCTGTTCTCGTACATTTCATCCTTTGCCAAATAAGCACATAGGAATGGTCTTCAGTTTACAAAGCGTAAACCTATGACTCTCTACATCTATGTTCTTCTTCCTCCTTTTCATAGAGATATGAGAAATATTTGCTTTTCTAACACTATACAGAAGTGACTCTCACAAGGCAAAAACTGTTTTTGCAAAATATTGTTAAGTGTTCTCTGTAATTCAACCTCTGGATCTGATCTCCCTCTACCTGATGGAAGGACATGTCCTCAGTCTTGTCTAGAAAGTCATTCAGTCACTTCCACAGCCATGTTGAGTGGCAGGGTTCCTGTTGTCCCAGAATTGGCCTTAGAGCCCACACCATAAACCATGCGGGTAAGTACCCCTCGCCCACAGTGGTTCTCAACCCTCCCCTGCTCCCACTGGCATTGCAATGGGGAGCTTTGGAGATGCCAATGCTTAGCTTTTCTCCAGAACAATTACGTGGAATCTTTGAGGATGGGACATGGGTATGGATGTTTTTTAAAGCCCCGCAGTGTTAATTCAGGCAATTCTGGTACATACACAAGGTTGAGAAGGACAGATCTAAAGCAGGCAGCCAAGAACGGGGCTAGATACTGACCTGCAAAGCTTAGCAAGAGGTGGCAATACCAGCCCTACTGTAACTAGTGGCAGCCCGCCATCTATGCCTAGACTTATCAAACTAGGAGGGAGGAGTGACTGGCACTGCCACAGAGCCCTCTAGAACTCTCACATGCTCCTCACGCAACAGCCAGTACATGATGCCTGGCCCCCCAGAGGCACACATGGCCAGATGGTGTCAGACAGCAGTAGCAACCACAAGAGGATGCATTTCCCTCAGCAGCCAGTAAATTAAAAGAGATAAAATAAACCTGCCACCTCTCCCACAGCAGCATCCTGGAAGAAGAAGAGAAAGAGACAGGTGTCCCAGACCCATCTGGTCCCCCTCCAATCCAAGCAGATGGGGTCTCAGCTCAAACTGTGCTTGGGTAAAAGGGAGATGGTAAAGGTTTAACCCACACATGAAGCCAAACTGGATCGAATATTAATAACCAAAAAAGACTAGAAAAGATGAAATATGCCCAAGATGTCACTGTGGGATGGGAAAGGGAGAGTCAGCAGCACAGAGCTGGACACTATGATTGAAGGAAGGAATCTTGGTCATGTTTATCCTGCTCCATGAGTTCACACGGCTTTATAAACCAATTATACTTTAGTGAATTTCTCATTCATACCAGGTTTAAACAATATGAGTACAAGATTTTCTCAGGATTTCTCCTTCCTGTCCTCCAGGGGGTGACATCCATGTTCAGTGGGCATGGAGGGAGGTGGGGGGTGGGGAGCCTCTGTCCTTGCATTGGTTTCATCTGAACCCAAGCTTGCAAAGCCTCCTGGCTAAGACCACCACACCCCTTGGGAATCCATTAACTCCCTCAGCAAACTTCCAAAGCCTTTGTGTGAACACAAGGAAGATGCAGCGGCTGTCTCAAGTGTGCCTGGGGAGACTCGGGAGCAATCCTGCAGCCCCACTCTGCCTTTGCCACCCCATGCAGCCCCGTGGTGTGCCCCATACGAGGCAGGATGTGGGGTCCTTTTCATGGAGATACTCACATACTCCAGCTCGTCCCTGCGCTTCTCATCCCTCCCCAGCTGGGAAAGCACCCCAGTCTGCATGGCAGTGCTTGAGAGAGAAGTGAGAGGAGAAGCTTCCCCTAATCACATGTTCTTCCAAATCTGATCTATCCTACACCTGCACCAAAGTTTTTGAACCCAATAGCCAAGAATGTGAAACCTTTGGTGTTTGGTTCCCCCATGAGAGTTTCCCTAGAATAAAGGAGACTCCATTCTAGGAGTCTAGAATGATCATGGATTAAAAAATGAATTGGCCCCACATCCCCATTAATATGGCACCTGCTCACCAGCCCCCCACTGCTCTTGCCTATTAAGATCAGAGAAAAATGTGAAAGAACACCAACAGAAGATGATACCAGAACAGCGGAAATCAATTATGTGCAAGAAATTCCGGGAGATATTATTTATTACAAACATATAAGTTGAAACAAAATACACAAAAAGATGAGTTTGCTGCATGGGAATTTGTGAAAGCTGCTGATAAATACTACTATTTTTTTTAAAGATTTATTTATTTTAGGGGTGCCTGGGTGGCTTAGCCATTAAGTGTCTGCCTTTGGCTCAGGTCATGATCCCAGTGTCCTGGGATCGAGTCCCGCATCAGGCTCCCTGCTCAGCGGGAAGCCTGCTTCTCCCTCTCCCACTCCCCCTGCGTGTCTCTCTGTCTCTCTCAAATAAACAAACAAATAAATAAATAAATAAATGTCTTTAAAGATTTATTTATTTTAGAGAATGAGAGAGAGAGAGAGAGAATGAGTGGGGAAGGGGCAGAGGGAGAGGGAGAGAATCTCAAGCAGCCCCGATGAGCATGGAGGCCAACACAGGGTTCAATCTACAACCCTGAGATCATGACCTGAGCAGAAATCAAGAGTCCAACACTTAACCAACTGAGCCACCCAGGCACCCCAATACTACTCTCTATTAGTAGAAGTAACAGAAGTTGATTCTTACTGGATATGTAGAACTTGTCAAGGAGTCTTGTTGTTTCCTGTTCCTGGTTATTGTGAGTAAAGCTGCTACAAACATTCTTATACAAGTCTTTGTGTTGACATGAGCTTTAATTTCTCTAAACAATGTCTTCATAATTTTGCAACATATTGCTTTTTCTGGTGCTATTTTTACACAAATATAATAATAAAAAGCAATTTTATAATAAAAATAAATCCCTGACTTTAATTTGAAATAAAATTAATTTGGGGGTGGAGAAACGTATTTTCATCATCTCTGTACTTTTATTATATAAGTTATAGCAGGGCAGGGGTGTCAGGGTGGCTCAGTCAGTTAAGTGTCCTACTCGGTCCTGATCCTCAGGGTTCTGAGATCGAGCCCCGTGTTGGACTCTGCACTCAGTGGGGAATCTGCTCGGGGTTCTCTGTCTCCCTCTCCCTCTGTCCCCCTCCCACCCCTGCTCATGTTCTCTCTCTCTCTCTCTCCCTCTCTCTAAAAGAAATGATTTTTTTTTTTTTTAAGTTATAACAGGGCCATCACACTGGCAGGAAGCCTCATGGTCAAGAAGACACTAGGAGTTATTGGATACTGTGACAAACTGAAAAGTGCACACATACCTTGTTTTAAATGCGCAGCCACTATTCCACTTCAACCAATTCACCATGCAGCCCCAAAATTGCCCAATCTTCTAATTTTTCAAGGGCAGATTTTTTTTGTGCATATACACAATCTCCTAAATTTAAATGTTGACCAATAAGAAGTATTAAGCACCGGTGGGCTAATGCTATCCAGGATTAGGCTGTACAAGATAAAACACAACACAAGCCAGATTTGGCCCAAGACTCATTAGTCTCTAGCTAAGATTTTGGTTCTCAATCTGGCTATGAGCAATGAACTTTTAGCTTTTTAAAAATACAACTTGCCTGGGCCCTATCACAGATCCGGAATGAGTCCTGGGCATCTGCATATTGTTTGAAATGCTAGAGTTCATTGTGTTTCACAGTCAGTGTGAAGAAATAGGGAATTAAATTTCAAGTTAACAGTGTTTGGTCACATGTCCAACTTCAGCACTGTATTTAGAACACCCTGTGGCTTTCCCAGGCTAATTCTACCTGTTTCAGAGTTCAAACACTGATGTGCATATCAGTAAATTATAATAATGAAACTGTCACAAGGCAGTTTTTCTCATCTCTAATTAACCCAAATGGCATCAAGTTTTGGCTCTTCTGTGTTTGGGGGCAGTATAATAGCTGACCTTTGTGGAGGAAACTTGATTCTAAGTAAAAATGTTCATATACGAGTTGATAGAAATTTCTTATTCATAAACATGCTCACCATAGGATAAAAACATCTCCACAAATAAGGGAGAAAAGAAAAGAAGCAGGAGAAGGCAGATCAAAGGAGTTGTTGCATTTTTACAGACAATTTAGCAGGTAACAGGTCTTGTGAGATGAGTACGAAGTCATGGGGACAGTTAAGATTCCTAACCTGGGACTCTTGCCTGTCAGGTGAATATGGGCTTAAAGTAAATAAGGTAGAAAGATGCTGTGATAGGAACCTCTCTCAATTTTTTTCCAATGAGCTCCTGCAAGCCTGAGGCAAATGGGTCTTTATGAAAAATGGAGACAGCCAGGAACAAGATCCTTTCATCATTTGCATTTCAAGCCTCTGATTTTAGTCATGTGGCAAGCAAATGAAGAAAAATTGGAAATAACCATTAACTAAGGGAAAAATTACAGTAACATTGAGTGAGGGTCTGAAGGTTGCAGGGCAGGTATCAGTTCTTGGCATGGAAACCTGAAAGTCAGGGCCAAAGAGAATGGCCACGGTGAGCACAGATGCCACAGATAGAGACACATCCAGGTTTAAAATCGTCCTCACCTTGGTGGCCTCCGGAATAGAGTGCATCAATGGCTTCATCATGGCCATCCATGGAGCCGAGTGGGCCAGAGGCAAAAGACTCCCTGTCAGTGACTGCATTCTGATGATGCTCAGCTTTTCCAGGCTCTTGCTGCAGATCTGGATGATGCTGGAGAATACTTACAGTCTACTGTTCTGGGTCACTTATAACCAAAACACAGTGTTTACACTCTATTTCAACCTCTGGCTTGCTGCCTGGCTCAAGATCTTATATTGTCTTAGAATTGCAAACTTTGCTCACCCTTTGTTCTTCTTGATGAAGAGGAAAATCACAGGGCTGATGCCTTGGCTTCTGGGACTGTCACTGTTCATCTTCTTATGCTTCAGCTTTCCCTTCTCTACAAATATCTTCAACGTGTATGTAAATAATTCCATTCCCATCCCCTGCTCCAACACCACGGAGAAGTACTTCTCTGAGACCAACCTGGTTCTTCTCTATAACCTGGGGATCTTCATTCCTCTGATCATGTTCATCCTTTCAGCCACCCTGCTGATCATCTCTCTCAAGAGACACACCCTCCACATGGAGAGCAATGCCCCTGGCTCCAGCATGGAGGCTCACATGGGGGCCATCAAAGCTACCAGCTGCTTTCTCGTTCTCTACATTTTCAATGCAGTTGCTCTATTTATTTCCATGTCCAACATCTTCGACGTCAACAGTTCCTGGAATATTGTGTGCAAAATCGTCACGGCTGCTTACCCGGCTGGCCACTCAGAGCTACTGATCTTGGGGAACCCTGGGCTGAGAAGAGCCTGGAAGAGGTTTCAGCACCATGTTCATCTTCACCTGTAAGAGCAGACTCCATGACTGGAACCCAGAGAACCACTGGCCCTGGTTCAACCAGTTCTGCCTTTCCCCATCTAGACCTTTCTCCTCACCCATCTTTTCTGCCCTAATCTTGCTCTGATACTTTTCCTCAGGTAACTGGGCCCTTTCATGAATGGGATGCTGAATTTTCAATGTGAGATTCTAAGCAAAAGTAGTTAAGCAACTCTAAGATGGATCTGTGAAAGTTTCTCGATCTATGCTCATTCATCTCCTGCCCTGAGCCCTCCATACGTCCTCCTCCCCTGAACCTGAAGGAGAGGATGGCCAGACATCTCTGTTTGCCTGGGATGATCTCAGTTTGTGCCTGTGGTCACTGAGCACCCTTTAATTCTCAAGGATATCTTGGTCTGGATGAAAAATTACATGGTCACCCTACTTAAGACACTCTCCTAACCCACAGGAGGGCTAGTGATGAGCATAGAGGGCAGTCCAAGAGGTAGAAGGGAAATTGGAATACCCACAGGGAAACAGGGATTCTGGAAAGAAAGGCTGGCCGGAAGTACCAAGTGCCACAGAGGTTTCAAGAATGGAGGCCGCATATACTATTAGTGGCGTGACAGGTGGCATTCAGAATGCAGAAGTTTCCAGAGAAGGTGAGGAAAACAGGAGTTTGTAAAGACCAATAATTTCAGGACGTCGTCTGAAAAGAAACATGAAATACAGGGTGGCAGGTGGGATGAGTGGATGGTCAACTGAATGCTTCATTTTTCCAAATGGTGGGAGGATGAAGGGAAAAGAGAGGAGGACTGAGGGCTAGCATGGTGTGCGCAGCCACAGAGAGAAAACAGGCGGAGTCCAGAGTAGAGGGACATCTATTTTGCTGTGCTCCTGAGTCTGTGGCAATGCAAATGTGTCTGCCTCTGGCGTTGTCAATTCTAGGTCTCCTTGAAGCGACGGGAGCTGCACGGGCAGGTGACCAGGGAGGGGCTGTTTGAGAAGAAGGAAAATGTCACACTCTACTGTCACTCTTCAGAATGACGGCATCCGCGCTGCCTCAAAGGGCTGTGCACAAAATAAGACACCCCACTCCTAGATATCTTGGAACCAGAAAGTTAGGAATTTAGGATTTTCTTGTATTTGGTGTTTTTAAAATCAGAATTACTGAGGAAAATGTGAAAAGAAGGCTTCTGATCATACCAAGGCTCCCAAATGAAAATGTAAGATCAGTAGCAAAGAATAAATGCTGAGCGTCTGGGCTCTCAAGCACATTTTTCCGAGAAAGTCCCTTATATCTGTGAACAGTAAAAAGATCACACACACACACACACACACACACACACACACACACACTCACGTACATCTCTTTAAAATTCCAACAGCATGGGATTTATTCAACTAGAAGGGAAAAGATTCATGAAAATACACATTTTTCATATTTTCCTAACTGACATCTACTTCTGTAACTATTTAAGGCTGGTTTGGTTGTTATGATAAAACAAATCAGATTCTGAAGTGTCATTCCAGCTCCTAAAGAATAGAGAAATATACTTCTTTCCCAATAATACATGCATACCTATCCCTGAAAAACAGAGAAAAACAGAAAATTGATTTAGAGCCACCAGGTGATTAATATGAACAATGCCAAGATAACAAACTACATAATCCCTCCCCATGCTTATTATGAAGAACTACTGTGTCATTGGTTGCAAAAGACAAAAGCAGCAGAGAGCTAACAAGAGCTTCAAGGATGGTGAGGTCAGTACTGTAGTTGATCTACCTTCAACCAAATAAAGTTCCCTCCAGTTCTCCCTCCCTCCCTCCCTTCCTGCTTGCTTGCTTGCTTGCTTGCTTCCTTCCTTTTCTTTTTCTTTCTTTCTGTACAACCCACTAAATTTCCATAATGGGCCAAAACACCCTATCTTCACATTGGTTGGCTTTAGACAGAAATCAGAAGTCCTGGGAAGCCTGGCTCAGTTGGTTAAGCATCTGCCTTCAGCTCAGGTCATGATCCCAGGGTGCTGGCACTGAGCCCCACATGGGGCTCCCTACTCAGCGGGGAGTCTGCTTCTCCCTCTCCCTCTGACTCTCCTCCCCCTGCTCATGCTCTCTGTCTCTCTCAGAGGGAGAAGCAGACTCCCCACTGAGCAGGGAGCCCGATGCGGGACTCGATCCTGGGACTTCAGGATCATGACCTGAGCCAAAGGCAGTCGCTTAACCAACTGAGCCACCCAGGTGCCCCAATAAAATCTTTAAAAAGAAAAAGAAAAGAAATCAGAAGTCCTAAAGGATCTGCTTTGCAAGCTCTACATGACAGCCCTGTGCCCTGAGAGAGGTTTGAAAGCTATGGTGTAAAGAGTTCCTTTACCCACAAAGTTACTTTGGATATTCATCCACCAAGTGGAGCAGCAGGGAGACTTTGGTTGTCACAGGACTCCCGTGTGGAAGGCCCAGTACCGGGTGGGGTGTCACAAACCTGGCAGAGTCCAGAAGGAAGACTAGAGTAGCAGCCAAGGCCAATCTAAGGGCTGAGATTTGAGAGGCACGGAATTGTCCCACAATCCTTCACGACCTTTGCCTTCTAAGGCCTCAGTGTCTGCTAATTCCACTGTGGTTCCTGCTTTTCTGGGAGTGGACTCCACAGGAATTCTCTTGTATTTTTCTCTCACACATTCTTTACTTTGGGCTGCTAGGGCAGAAACTTCTACTGAATAAGGAGAAAGGAACTACACATTCAATCAAGCAATGTCTTGAGTTGGGGGAGGACAGCAGAAACCAAGAGGAGAAATCTGGAGCAATCATGGCAGAACGGGAAGGGAGGGATGCTGAAAGTCCCATTCGACTCCTGTTTCCCTCTTCTGTCTGGACAGAGGTGGACTCCTTAGAAGAGAGGTGGGAGGAATGGAAATTCCTTACACGCTCAGAAAGGTTGGTTTGTGGGAGAAGGAGGAAGGATAAACAAACTGGGGCGCCAGTCCTTAGTGTTGGAAGGCTGAGGGAGCTCTCAGGACCCCTTCGTTAGACTGGGGACAGGTTGCCTCAGATAGCAGAGGTGAAAGTCAGAGGAAAATGCTCATCTCCATGGCCTTTGAGGAGAGGTAACATGTTATGTGGTTAGAAACTTCTATTGGTGGAAGCAGGACAGAAGCATTTTAGAGCCTGGAACTTGGCCCAGGGCAGGCCGTGGCAGAAAAGAGCAGGGGGCAGCACAAGAGGTGTGGGGTGGACGGCCGGATCAGAAGCATTGGGAAAGGGAAGGGGTGAAGGTGCTGAGTGCTTGGCCAGGCTCAGTTGGGAGAAGCACTCTACTTACAGCTCCTGCCTGGCCCTTGGGGGTGATCCCTGCAAGAACAAAAGGTCTTTCAAGAGCTTTCCAGAGGGACATTTCTGGGCGGGGCTCTTCACTGTTCAGTGCACTGTACTGCGCAGGTGCTCTGTGTCTGTGAAGCTACCTATCAACCAGCCTCACTGAGGGGGAGATGGATTTTTTGTGAAGTTTCTTGCTTGTCTCTCATTTGGTTTTCCTTATTTTTTTTAGCAAAGTGTCTTATAAATGTTCTGTCCTCGCTCAGTTGTGTCAGAAGAAAATAAGAGAAAGGTGATTTTGGAAACAGTTGAAAAGAAAAAGAATCAACAATTCCCCGGGTTGGGTTGGGTTGGGTTGGGTTCGGCTGTGGGAGCAGCCGTGAAGGCGATCCAAGGAAAGAATTCCAAGGTGGACCATTCCTGGGAAAATCTTCCCTTAGGGCAGCTGCCCCCTCCCCTCCCGCCATGCAGTTCCTGGAGTCACAGTGACTTCAGTTTGGGTCTGGGCTCTGCTACTCCTGGTGTTTGACACAAGCATGTTATTGCACCTTTCTGAACCTCAGTGTCTGTATCTGTCAAATGGGAATAATGATAATAATACCTCCCTCCTAGGGTTATCTATCTCACCCTAAGAAATGAGTGAGATAAAACACAGCATAAGCTTTCAACAAATAGTAGCTGTTACTATTCTAAAGGGAAGGAATGCAAGGCTGAGAGGCCAGGAGTCTAGAATGAGGATATTTAGAGCAGGCCAGATGTGAAAAGGCCCAGACTGGGTGGGAGGCGCACAGAGGGCTTAGGCTGTCCCACAGACTTCAGGGGCAAAACATGGCGCAATCCACAGCAGCTCATCATCCCAAGCAGGGCAGACAGGGCGGTGCCCTGAAATATTTGGCTCCCGCACACCTTCCTGGCAACATCAGAAAGACATCTAGTATTCCAGGGTTTAACCCCCTGGCAATTTTGAACGTAGCAGGGCACTAGGTCAGGGGTCAGCAAACTTTCTGTCAAGGGCCCACACACAATAAATATTTTAAGCTCTTGGGCCACAGGCAGTCCCGGCCACAAGTCCTCAACCCTTCTGTTGCAGCACATGTAAACAAACAAGTGTGCCGCGCTCTAATAAAACTTTATTTACAGACACTGAAATGTCAATTTCATACTTTTCACACATCATGAAATATCTTTTGATTTTTTTCAACCATGTAAACATGCAAAAAGCCTTCTTAGCATGTGGGCTCTACAAAAACAGGCGGTGAGTGTGATTTGACCCCCAAGCCACAGTTTGCCATCCCTGTACTTGGTACTTTCTCCAACACAAGGAGGCACCAAAACCCACCACAGAACCCCAGGTACGTTCACTATAAACCAGACATTCATCACGGCAATTTTGCCATGTTTTGAACGCAGCAACTTTCCGAATATTTCTGCCACTTTCAATTCCTCCAGCTTTGGTCCACCCTTGGTGATCCCTAAACCACAGTCTTTTAGTTCTTTGTGAGAAACAGTGAGCGCCGTAGTCCCTCTCTCCTACCACTGCCATGCTGTTAAGGACGGACACAGGGCCTCAAAGGAGTTTCTATCTAAAGTTTTAAAAGATATCACCCTGAAGCTGTTCAGTTGGTAACAAGGAGTAAAAATCATTAAAGAGGTTCCTGTAGGGTCCTCGGGAACGTTTCTAGCTCTAAAATGATCACACTCCTCCAGACCCCAGTGTGAGACTGGACACCAGGCTG